TTATTTAAAAATGGAAATAAATCTGAAAATTTATAGGGAATATTTTAGTAGAAATCAAGCCGGGTAAATGGAAATTCGCTTAGTATGCAGGTTTGCTGCGACGGGGGTATTTTGACTATAGTAAGGAGGAAGGACTATGAGCGTGTGTTAGTTTTATGTTTATACATCACACATGCTTTACCATGTTTTGTTTTTAGCATAAATTCGATGAAGTAAATTAATTCAAATACAATTCAAGCAAAGTAAAATTTTTTGAATTTTAGCATAATAGTCAAAGTCTTATTAAGCCAGATTTACAAACATTTTGCATTGGCCAAGTCTTAACTAATAAAATTACATAAAAAAAATATAATTTCTAAATATACAAATTGTTCAGTTGTGACACACCCTCTTGATGTTAAAGCAAGACTACCAGCTAATTCCCGGACGCTGTAGCAGACCTTGTTTATTAAGTTGGACTTGAGACATTTCCTGAATTTCCCGATGTCCTGTTCGGCTTTCAAATTCAAAGGGAGAGGAAGGTAATTAAAAAGTTTTACTGCATTGAAGTGGAAGTTTTTCTAACGGAAAGTGAGTGAGTACAACATTCAACCACTTTCTTGCTGATAGAATTAAAATTAAAAATTTCAAGATTTAAAGATTGAACATTTTATATTGACTTAATATGAATTTTATGGTATGGTTGTACAGTAGGCCTATTCGTTATTGCAGGAGTGTGTTGGTATATTCTATTTTATTTATTATTATTTCACTAACATCACAATCATTATTTCAACTAAATAGATAGTATTTTTTAACTGGTTTACCTCTGGTACGACATTTTAAGAGGGACGTCTCCGAAACGGCCATAGTGCAGTATTACGACGAATATTAAAACAGAGACGGTATGGATCATAAACATGAACAAATTATCTTACTGGTCTGACTGCCTATACTAACTTAATAGCTGGTTTGACAGTTTCATTCAAATATTAATAAAATCGTGTTTACTTTAGGACCAGTGACATCATCTGTTAATGTTTGTGGCCCATGCCGTTTCTTTTCTAACAATCGTGACGTATAAATTGCGAAGGCGGTAAGATATAGTCTATCTATGCACTCACACAATCTACTACACTAAAAAATCAGTTGTGAAATCTCTAAATATTTCCAGTTTGTAACGTTTAACATGTCAAGCGAAATGAATTACTTCTTCAAAATCAACATACCACTCACTTGAAGGGAACTTCTCAAATAAAGTAGCAACACCTCCTTTTCAATAGACAATTAGCAATGCTAGGTTTGGACCATTGATTAGTAGGCCAGTGGAGAAGAAAGAGGGGTATTATTTAATACTGACTGGAACGGAATGGCAACACAGTTGGTTGTAGCCTTGGCGACCTTGGAGACCTTGGATTACATGACAAAAAACACGTCCAGCAATATGACCTAATTCGTCAGCAGTTAGCACCACCTAATTCTGCACGCTAAGCTAAACAGTGATACCCATACCACAAATATCGTGGTATGTCTCCTTTCTTTACTGTATTTTTGGTATTAAACAAAGGACATAAAATATTATTCCAGTACGCCTCTGGTTCAATTAGCAATAGGATGATTTAAAAACCCAGGCATTAAAATACATATTTTCACAATTAATTGCGATTAACAGAAGTGAAAATTTACCATAATATTACATAAAGTTGACATTGATATAGCATACTAACATTTCCAACAAAACTACAAAGATTTATTTTTTAACACAACATTTTATATTTGCAATTCTTAAGGATCAGTAGGAGAGAGTTTTAATTTTAAACATATATTTTACAATTTTTTTTTCTAAACATATTTTTTTTTCTCTAAATCGAATATTAAGATTTTCCAATGAATATCTCTCCCTTTAAGCATTTTTCTTTTAAGGTAGCCTTCATAAAATCTTTACTTATTATAAGATTGTCCAAGATTTTAAAATCGAATCCAAACCAAATATGACTTAGTAATAAGCCGTTTTAATTCCAAAACACACAATACCAAGTTTAAACGTTCAATAGGACCGGCTATTCATACCATGGCTATTCAATTTACTACAAATTTGAGGAACAAAACTCATATTTATCACAAAACGTGTGTGGGTCTTTCATATAACTACCCTGTCATACAGACTAAACCATCAAAAAATAAGCACGGTAAATAATGACAAATTTATTATTAAATTTTCTCAACTAAAAAAAGCTTACAATTTATCAATGTTTACGGCCGTAATTAAGTATTGCCAAGAAGTGAGATGAATACAAAATGCAAGTATCTGCACCTCGCACAGCGGAGGGTGGTTTAGATATTGATCATGGCCATCAGACCCAGCCGCCCCAAGGGTAGCGAACCCAACACAAACCCACCTTAATCAACCCCGCTTGTTTAACTGTAAGTGAGTTTTAATTATTAACCTTCCCTAGGCAGTACTCCACATACTAGATATGTCGCCAACACTCTTGATTGATTACATGTAAATTGGAAATAGATAATCTTTTGTAATTTAAAATTAATGTGTTTGGGTTTATAGAGTTATGTAATGTTAACGTAACAATTAATTCTGGATTTCGGATGAAATAATACAGTATAACTGTAAAACTCGGGATATTTTAGGTACATACCTTACAAAGTTCAACAAGTGGTGAAACTCACGACATGTTTCGCCTTTTCAGGCATCGTCAAGTTGATCTTTAAAAGATCCAAATTAGATTCGCCAACTACAGTCAAACAAATACACATTATAGGACAACAAAAACATTTTAAATTTAGAGTAGACCTACTATTTACCGGCGACGAATAATAATTTGGACGAAACATTCTTGTAAAGATCACCTGGAGATGCCTGAATAGGCGAAACATATCGTGAGTTTCAAAACCATTTGTTTAACAGTTGACGTAAGGAATGAACCTTATAGTCAAATTAAACAGTTCAGGGGCTACACAATGAATTTATATCAGAGTATTTATACATAAAGAAACTACATAACACACAATTTATACAATACTAGCCTCAATAGGCGGATGTAGTGTTGAATTTGTTCTCATTAATGTAAATACTACCCTTTCTATACAGATGTACAATTTTAATTCGTGTCGATATGATAACTTCGCTAGGAGGATGTAGTATTGATTAATTTGACCTCATTGATATATGCACTATCCTCATGAGCGGCAGTGTCGTCACGTATAAGTCTCAACTTACAAAACTAATCCTTAGGGGCGGATGTATTGTTACATATTTAAATTATTTAATTTATTTATCTTTATTTACAAAAATGCACAAATCCTGTTTTGCAAATGCCTTTATTAGTACAATACTATCATCAAGTGCGGATATATTGACGAATTTGTCCTCATTGATATAAATACTATCCAAACTGGCTGGCGTCACTGTTACGTATTATGTCTTCATAGATACAATACTAAGCACAATACTTGATGGACATTTTCACTAATCTCGTCATTACTACAAACAATACTATCCATACTGAATGGGGTTTCCCTGTCCTCAACAAACACCACAACAATACTACTACAATATTCAAAAATACTATTCTCATGGGCGCATACATTGGTAACATTGTTTTCGTCAGTTAGTTTTAATTCGTCAAACTACTACTAATTATGACCAAATTATCAATCATGCGGTAATCGTTTATAGCCTACAAATGGTATAACGTGAATTTCATTATTAATTTTACCGTCATGATTGGAAAATCCTATGTCACATAAACGACATTATTATTAATCATATTGCTTTAATCATGAACAAACGTTAACACTTAGATACTCTCATTATCGTCTCCATTACAAACCAATTTTGTTACGTAAATCTTCTCCTTTTTTATCATACCGTCTTCATTATAAACTAATGTTGTCACTTATATGGCCAAATACCACACAAACCACCTTGTTATTACACTATTATACATTACTTCAAAACGAATTATGTAACGTAAATGCCAACACTAATTGACACAATTTCTGCCATAAATTTCATGGGTGCACCGTAGATGGTATAATTATTGTATACCTTTTTTATTTTGTTCATTTAATCGATATCCGTCAAAAGTCAATGAAAGAGACATCTGGCCTTCGATTTGGTTGTAGATAAGCGATCTCCCATAAATTATCATGGAGTAGGTATTTTTGAATTGTATTACTTCTCAGCAAATACGGAGCTTGAGTTAAGATGTTCATAATGATTTGCCCCGCTAGCATGATGAAGAATTCTAACGCCACTACTCCGCTGGTGTTATTCTCATTACGTGATGTAACATTACGTTTCAATGGGTGTGTGAGCCGACTGATCTAGGAGTTTGATCATATTCAGTTCAATTTAATATATTTTATCTTTGACAAGGAAATAAGGAATTTTTTCGCCTACATCACGTCTGATTCTACAGGTCGGTCTCGGGTTGAGCTCCAGTGTCTGTATTGATCACAGGAGGATCTAACTTACCCCAACCCTCCCGCATCGCAGTCTCTCGTTTTGTGTTTGGTTTTCACTATATTTTATTTATTTTTACAAAATCAAAAGCGATGTTTGTGTTTTTATTATTGTAGCTACCTTTAAATAGGTAGTAGGCCTAATGAAGTTTTTTGTTTAAATCATTTCAATTTGTGATTAATCTTTAAAGTCGTATTAAAAATTGATAAAACAATGTATTATATTCATTCAACCCCCAAATTGATGCAATTAACATAGTAAAATAGATTACATATCTCGAAATCAACATTCTACTTATTGTAGAATATTAGCTTACTGGAACCACGCTGTTTTGTGTTGTTTCGTTGGAATCCTGATGTGCGCCAAAGTATAAACCGTACGACAAAGTATACATATGCAGCAATTAGCAGCTTTCTGTACTATAAACAGTACAAGGAAGCCAACTTTGTCGGGTGACTGTAGGAAAACAATATATTTAACAAAGAAAATATAGTCTGAACTACATACTTGTTATTGTTAATACATTGAATAAACTTACGGCTATTTCTGTTTCCAGCTGCTAGATGTTCAAGACATTAGGTCGGTGGATGACCTGAAAAAAATAAAAGTGTTACACTTGTACTAGAGTATACGCTAACATTCGTATATAAATTACGTTATGCGTTGTTAAAAACTGTACTGCCCTCATAAACGTTTCTATCGTGATACATAAAAATACAAACACAGCGATGTTATTTCCAAAATCAATGCATCCTTTATTTCAAGTAAAACATATTAGAGATGTTCTTTTTTCTGTAATATCGTGTTTGTATTACTATTATTATTTTAATACCTAGAGGTTTCAGATACGTTTTTAAGTTCAAAAATGGAAAAATCCAATTTTTATCCTATAAAACCTGTTCCCATGGTTCAACCTTGCTGTTTCGCGAACTCGTTCGAATAAATGTAGGATTGAAACACGTTTGCACCAAATTGCATAAAATTTGGGTGTTTTTACTTTACTTGAGTTATCGTGCTAACAGACACAGGCACACGTGTATATGAATTAATTAATATGAATTATTCGGTCTTACCATGAGACCTACGGTAATTTAGCTTATTTCTCTATATGGGGAATTCGCTAAAAACCATATTTTTATTTATCATTTTTAGTAGCTAAGTCGATCAAAACTCAGATGTAAAATTAAATATCAATGACATTGAATGATTACGCCTTAAATATGGTTCTTCTTCTTTTTTGCATTTGTTACACAGTCAGCGTTTTATGACACACATGCGTATAAGATAGGCCTACAGTTTAAAAATTATATAGAACAAGTGATGATTAAAATAAACAAATCACAGAAGTCGGTAAATATTTGTTTCTATGGAAACAATATACGCCTGCAATCCAATTTCTTACAAGAAACTAAATGGATGCAATTTTTTTTTGCAATCAAACTTGGTAAACCTTATGTGGTTGGAATGAGTTCAGAAGAGTAAGATGAAGTAGAGCAGTTATGTTGAATACATGACAGAGTTTGTCCATTGACAGCCAATTACTCCAGAAATCTTGTACAGGGGAACAAAAAAGCAACCAAATGAAGAATCTGGATAAAGATAGGAGTTTATGGAACCATGCAGAGATATGATGCTGTACTGTAATCGCAAGGTGATGTTCTGGAGAATAAGTAATATTGAGATGACTCTTCAGAGGATTTGTCAAGGAATTGCTGTTGAGAAGGATATGGTAGATCAGATGAAACGTGTATAGAGAAATAGCGTTCATACCATAGAAAAGTTGATGAATCATCCGAGAACTTCGAGAGGAAGCCCCTAAAGAGAAAACTGAATGTTCTGCCTGGCGGTACACGAAATTAGCATCTCAAGGACTTCAAAAATGCGAAGAAGAAAACATAAAATTTGATTTATGGCGGACTTTTTAGGATTAGTGTCTTAAATTAGGTATGTATCTAGTATTAAGTATCTTTGTAGTAATTTTAGTCTGACCGAGTGAGGTAGCTATGCTATTTCACATTCGGGTGGTCTGACTATCAGGCCGACCATTCTGAGGAGAGTTTGTACGGTTTCTTTCCTCTTCAGGCGAATGCCGGAATGGTTCCCTGAAGGGCCGTACCCCGCCAGGCAGAATGGAAGAATGGACTCTGTCCTAATTCTGTTTGGTTTAAAATCCCCTAAGTAGGTTACCCTTAAATAAACATTATTTTTCCCTTTTAACGTTTTGTATTTTTTACATTTTTAACACGATATGTTTATATGACTGAGAAGAAGGTATGCTTTCTAACAGCCAGAACGAATGACAGGAATTGGTCTTAATTCTGCTTGGTTGGAAACCCCAGGTAATAGTTAAAATTCAAAATAAAAACAGGTAACCTATGATTTTACTAGACATTCCATCCCCATGTTAAAGTTGTAGCCAGGTTGTTAATCAAATTTGTCTTAGTTGATGTGAGCCACCTACAGATTGCACTGATCTTAATTATTGATTTCTGCCGATTACACGATGGTTTTTACCAAGTCAAATTGATGGAATGACTCATTATGAGCTATAGCAACTGTTGTGACCCAGCAACTATGTCAGTAACCAAAAATAACGTACAAAATAGAGTTTTAGACACTAGCGCAATCTGTGACTGGCTCACACAACTACGTTCTTTTTTAGTAAAAAATTGGCGACAGCTGATCCATATGATTTTACTTTAGCGTTGCTGTTTTATATTTTGTGTACTAGTTTATTATTTGTTTCCATGTTATGTTTTTGTCAACAGATATAAAATAAGCTGCAAACTTGAGGGATTTTTTAAGGGAAACATTCTAAAAGACTTGGTTTTGAAGAGTTTGAAATATTTTCAAAACTAACTCAAGGAGAGCGTAGCCGGCTTTTTTTAAAGCTAGTGAATTAAAACATACTAATAGTCTAGATTATTAAAAATGTAACCAGCTAAAATGTAAATAGTTTGTAGGTGAATGTTTCTGCAATTTTCAAAAATTGCAATTTAATTTAAGATAAAAGTAGTAGGTACTTACGGTTAATGCGATTAGGAGTGGGACATATGTTTTTAGGTACCTATAAACTATTGCCTTTTAGTAATAATCAGAAAAATTATAATTCGACGCATTGTGTCAAAATACTTGTACAGTATTTGCAAAAACATTGGAATACGCGGGTTTAGGAGGTTGAGAGAAACGGGAAAAGGGGGAAATGATCAATACACCAACCCCTCCTGACCTTAATAGTGTAACTAACCCTCTTCTATGAGAAAACCTCCCCAGAAATTAATTTGTTTAATACAATATTTCAGAACTCTTTCAAACCACGTGTTCATAGGTTTAGTTTAAACAATCACATGTAGCCATATGACAGCAGGCCTCTTTATTGCACGTTTGTATGTATTTTTTTTTTTTAATTGTTATGTTTTTTAAACACAATTCTAGACATAATCCATAGATTTGTCGGCTTCTAAGTGTAGTCAGACAGAATTCACTGTCAAAATGGAACGACGTGGTTACATGTATACATTTTGTATACATGCACATTATACATGAAGATTATTTTAGTACGTCTTTCAACTTCAAACTAGGTATTATTATGTCAATAAATATCATAAATTTCGGTTCTTATTTTCACCACAATGTCGATTACCATTACACATAAAAATATAGGTTAGTATATTTTCAATTGTATAAAAATAAAATTAAATTGCTATTAACTTGTTTAAAAGTAAAGCCCGACAAGGAAGTACAGTACTGCAATACCTGATAACTATAGTGAGTCGACAAGTCATGTTTTAAAATCGAAAGGTTCTAATGTGACAAGTAGATGGGAAATCACCGTTTTTAGTCGCAAAAAGAGGCGAACCCTGCCAGGCCTTATTTTGCCTTAACCGTACAACTAAAAATCGTGATTTCTCAGCTAATTATCATAATATGATGTTTTTAACTTGGTGTTGTTTGATAGGGATTTTCAAATGCTTTTAACTGTTAAATAAAAGTTTATGCCCACTTAGCATTCTTTAATAAAATCAGTAATTTTCTTAATAGAACTTATAAAAAATCTAACTGCCACCATTTTTAAAGAAAACTGGTTTATTATTTTTTTTTCTCTATAGTTTTTACTCGATAAACAGTATAGGTACGAAATTTCATATAGATATATTAATTAGTGTTACAGATATAATTTTAAAACATAAAGAACAAAGAGGCGAATATCATGCTAACGAGGGTTAAAAAATTTTATTACAGTATTGATTTTCATTTTTATTTTTACCCATTAAACCTATTCCTAAATAATGTTTACTTACTAACAAGGTCACAAGACGGATCTTTTAAATTGATTAGTCCTCAAACAATGCATTACCGGTATATATTTATTTGTTATCAGTATGATAATATAATTATTAACTACTTTCATCACTACTCGATATACAGTAGGCCTAGTTAGGAACACATTCTAGTTATTTTCAGCAAATCTGCATAGCTATAAAATGAAATACATATTCTATCACTTCTCAGAATGGTTACACGTATACTAAAATTATTTAATATATAAGATATCCAGGACTTGAGATATTTCTCCACATGGAGACTCGCGGGAGTGGGACATATGTTTAGTCACAGAAAACATACGAGTACTACTAGTAGTATATGTTTAGTGGGCTCAGGTAGACCGTACTGGAGCCCTGATAATATGTCAGGGATTATCGTATCCAAGTGTTCGTGCGAGACTTCTAGTCTTAATTGTTTTCATCATACGTAAGGGTGTCACATTAAAATAAGATATACAGGGAGCGGCAGAAATATCTGACGGTTTTCAAGCGAGTACCGTCCGGCAGCCAAGTGGAGGAGGGTGGTGGGGAGCGGCTCATTCTCAAGGCCAAGTGAGACAATTTTAGTCGCCATAGAGCAGTGGACCGGTATACATCGCGCGTTTGTCGTTGAGGCGTATTTTAAAAATGGCGATTTTGTTGTTGATATCAACGTAAGTTTCGTAGGCATTTTAATGTGGCTCGTGGGGAACCTATCCCATCCCGAAACACAATCGGATACCTTTAGATCCACAGGATCAACTGCAAAACGTAGGCCTACAGGCCGTCCAAGGTCAGTGAGGACGCCGGAGAACGTGGAGCGAGTGCGACAAACTGTGCTAACGAGCCCGCATCGCCCGGCGCGTGGACAAGCTGCTGCTCATGGCATGTCTGAGCGCTCTACTCGACGAATTTTGCACTCAGACCTTCACTTTCACCCATATAAAATAGCAATCGTCCAACAACTTCAGCAAAATTTGTCGAATAGAGCGCTCAGACATGCCATGAGCAGCAGCTTGTCCACGCGCCGGGCGATGCGGGCTCGTTAGCACAGTTTGTCGCACTCGCTCCACGTTCTCCGGCGTCCTCACTGACCTTGGACGGCCTGTAGGCCTACGTTTTGCAGTTGATCCTGTGGATCTAAAGGTATCCGATTGTGTTTCGGGATGGGATAGGTTCCCCACGAGCCACATTAAAATGCCTACGAAACTTACGTTGATATCAACAACAAAATCGCCATTTTTAAAATACGCCTCAACGACAAACGCGCGATGTATACCGGTCCACT